TGTAGCTGGGTATGCATATTCTGCAGGGTAACATGAACGGACAGACATACAGGGATTTGGTGCTTAGAAACATTGTAGTCCCTCATTTTGATAATCACCCACTTGCGTCAAGACCCTTGTACATGGACGACAAAGCTAGACCACACAGGGCAAGGATTGTTACCGAGTTCAAAGAGCAAGAAGCCATTGACACTATCTTTTGGCCTTCCATGTCTCCAGACATGAACCCTACCGAACATGTCTGGGATGCCATTGGCAAAAATCTCAATCGCAGAGATCCACCTTTGCCAAATCTTGGCGATTTAAGAGTGGCAATTGTTGATGAATGGAATAGATTTCCTCAACTAAAGTTCAGAAGGCTTGTACAGAGTATGAGACGCCGTGTTATAGAACTGTACCGGAAGAGAGGTGGTTACACATCCTATTGACTCAAATATTGACATTAAATTTGCCGAACATACCAAAGATTATTTGTAGAGAATTTTAATGATATTGGGTGATTAATTGTTGTAAAAAAATAAAATCACAGTGAAACTTAAATTCCGTTTCTGATTTGTGTAATTTGCACTTTTTCTATGAACGCAAAATTCAAATGCATAGAACCTGCATAAGTAACCAAACTTAAGTTATGGTTTGTTTGTGGTATATGTTAGCAAAATTGCTACATGAATGTTTTCTCTTTTTCGAGGAATGACTGATTTTTTTAAATGAAAAAAATTCCGATGCAATAAAAATAGGTGGTGCTTAACTTTTGTCGGACTGTATATATATCATCAAGATTTGATTTGGTGAATAAATATTTGTTAACTGCTCAACATAAAGGGTAGCAGTCACACTCCCAAAAAAGGTATAAAAAATGGATAACACTTTAACGCAACGGAAGGAAGATTAGATATCATAGATTTCTGGTTCATCAGTGGTGCCCGTTTATTTGATTTGCTATATAAGTTTGTTTTTAGGCTATTGATAAACACGCATATAACATGCTTTTACAACTTTTTATCCTGTGATTTATGACTTTTGGTAAAGTAATATATTTTCATGATTGAAAAAGATGAAAGCAAAACAAGCACATAGCATAGTGACGTGAAAATATGACAGTTCTTTTATCTACTAAGATAACATATTCAAAACAACAATAAATATGTAACTTAATACATTAAAACGGTAACTACTGTGTTGTTTTATTTTCTTGTAAAAGAAACTTTAATAGTTTAATAGTTATTTTTTTGCGTGGCTATACTTAAATAATATTAAAACCAAAGTATAAACTTTAAAAGGTCGTTTGTTAAAAGGAAATTGACACGGGGAAAGGGGTATGTAATGCATAGATATGTCAATAAGACAATTACAAAGTGAAAAAAATCAAGACATCTAGAGGTCAACTATTTTAAGCTCTATAAGTGGACTAAAAAAGTTCATACGACGTACAATATAATTTAGTACAGGAAAAGCTCTTAACTTATAACACTGATATAATTGACAAGGAAAACACAGGTACTTATATAACAATAAATACTGAAAACACAGGTACTTATATAACAATAAATACTGAAAACACAGGTACTTATATAACAATAAATACTGAAAACACAGGTACTTATATAACAATAAATACTGAAAACACAGGTACTTATATAACAATAAATACTAAAAACATATATATATAGTATATTTAACTTGTTGGTAATAAATTATACCGACTATACGCAGGCACTTTATAGAGTTGATTTTATATACACATCCACATTATCAACAGTGCAAGAAGACACGCTCTTCTTGTATTTTTAGAATTCACGAGGCATTACCCAAACATGTATTTTTTTTTATAAAAACCAAAGCCAGTAATTACTTTTGTATAATGTATTGCTGTTCTTCATCACAAAGTCTTAACGGAACAAAAGCATACAAATCACTACACACCCCTGGGTCGGTTTTACCAGTGTTTATTTTACTGCTGGCTTTCAGTAACTTTGATAATGCGTCGCTAAGATTGGTAATATAATAGATCTTATTATTTCTATCTGGTATTGGTATGTCTGTTTAAAAATAAGAAGATATGTTATGATTGCCAAAATGAGACAACTATCCACCAGAGTCCAATTGACGTGGATGCAAGCAACTATAGGTCACCGTACGACCTTCAACAATGACTAAAACCCATACCGTATAGTCAGCTATATACGGCCCCCGACATGAAAAATGTGAAACTTAAACGAGAAAACCAACGGCCAGATTTAAGACAAAAGAATTTTTTTTAAACACGACAGACAACAACCAACGACAGCCACCAGGTTCAGACCTGATGGGTTAACATACTTTCTAGCGATCCTTTTTTGGTTTGATGCTTTGTTTATTGATACAACACTGTCCCATGTTGAACTGAATCCCTTACTGAAAATACTTGTACAAGTCCTTCTGACTAGAACCGTTTGTTGATTACTCTACCGTATGTGTCGTTATCGGTTTAGACGTTTGTATTTTCACTCTTTAGTGGATAGTTGTCTTGTTGGTTTGTTCCACATTTCCTTATTTCTTTAATGTGTATGTTCCGGACCATATGCGTATGGTCATGACCATCTGCGTATATACTCATATGGTCCGACCATACGCGTATGGTCCAGGTAGTTAACATGGTGATCGTTGAAAAGGTGTCACATAAATTATAAGTTTCTAAAAATGAAATTTTGACTTAATTAACTAAAAAATAGTATATGGGGGCATGCACCTAAAATAATTTAGTTATTCTTCTTATTTCTGCTTATTTTCATTTAATTGATGAGTTCTTGTTCTTTTTCATGCGATCTTATGTCATTGTAAGATCGTAGTGCAAGAACATATTTTAAAAATAACTAATAAAAATATTTGTTTTTAGTAAAACTATGTTTAACGCCAAGAATTACAGTAAGATAATTTTTACACAGTCATTATCGATTAGTCCTTACGAAACGCAAGATGTCGACTTTGGAAAATAACTTCAAGAAATATCTTAATGAACTGTTAAACAACAAGTCAATTGCTTAACTCACAGAAACTTTGGTCATTGAACCCTATTTCTTTTTTTTTTTAATTTCTTTTGTTGTTTAAATTAGTTTTTTATTAAATTAAAATTTCTTAAATATTTCCTATTTTTTTTAGTTATTTAATGTATTCTTACACCTAGTCATACGATCTTACAATGACACAAGATCGTATGAAAAGGAGTAAGAACTCATCAATTAAATGAAAATAAACAGAAATAAGAAGAAATTTTGTTTCTGAAATAATGTTTTAAACACTAATAAAACAGAACAAAAGGTTCATGCCCCCAAACGCATGTGGTTTCACTTACGGACAAATATCGAAATTATAAAGGCGATTTAAGTTGACTAAAGCGAGTGCAAGACTCAGACAATATGTAAAATATAAAGGAATTCAGATAGTAACTTGTGCCGTTTTTGGTTCAGAGAATGAGCTGTGCTTTCCTGTAAAGGAAGTAAGAATTATTCGAAAAATACCTATATGGTCTAAATACTCATATGGTCCGGCCCGTTAATAACCAAACGAGTATAATACTCATATGGTCGGACCATACGCGTATGGTCCAAATACTCATATGGTCCGGAACATGTATAAGAAGTGTTGTGGCTTTAACGCCGACTCACCGGAATATCAGCGCCTGTGTATGAAGCGCATTATTCTGATTCATCACTTGGTCTTGAAAGAAGTACCACGCTTACTCGTACTTCACCTAAATGAAATTAATAGTTTCATTAAGTATAATTATTCACATATGCAGTTTGATACAATTCTCCTTAAACAAGGAAAGAAAGCTTTGTTTTAAGTAAAACTATGTTAATGAATCTGTCGTACTTGACTTTCAGTCTATGTCGTCTTGACTGATGTTTGAATGATTGAAGAAAAGTGTTCAACAGAAAAAAAAATCTGTGTTTGAGTGTGAATATTTGTGGGTTGTATTTATTGAACATTTTTCTTTTGATTCGGATTAATCTTACCGTTTTCAAGTATCAAGGAAGTTTTTGTAACAGATAATATTGAACATTTATGACTTTTAAATCTGTCTATTGAAATTTGATTTAGAAGTACCCACGTAAAGACACATATTATCTAACAATTTTAATACTTGGTTACTAAATAACCAAGCAATAATGCAATTCATAAAATCCTTTTAAACTAATAAATATTTGGAACAAACAACTTGTAGCAGTTCGTGGTTTTAAATCGATCCAGATTAATAGTATTTCAATTTCATATTTTTTAGTAATGCAACTTCAATTGCTGCTGGGTCACGGTGGCCGAGTGGTCTAAATAGTTCATCTACTGAATCACTAGCCTGTTAACACTGAGTTTGTGAGTTCGAAGCGTTCTACTACAAACTTAAAAAAGGCGGTATGGGTTTTACTCATTGTTGAAGGCCGTACGGTGACCTATAGTTGTTAATTCCTGTGTCATTTGGTTTCTTGTGGAGAGTTGTCTCATTGGCAATCATGCCACATCTTCTTATCTTCATATTGAATAAGTTTTCTAATTTAGCAATTCCAGGATCCTCCCCCTTTTTATTTGACTCTCTCTGAAATTGTAAATGCTTTGTATAATTTATCGATATTCAGATGCAGTTCAGCGACTTCTAAATGCATACTAAATTTTCTTAAACTCAAAAACATCGTCCAATTACGTAAGTTAGATTCCGGTTTATTTTACGAATAGCTTAACATCGGAGAAAATTTTTGTAACTAATTTTTATTGGTAAAAGCTCAAATATATATCCAAATTGTTAACTGATAATAGTAGTAGATAAAAGACACATGCATGTCCTTTTTTGAATGCATGTTCCAAATATCAAACATTTTATATTTGCTTTCTCAAACTTTTATCCTCACATTTGCTATAGTATTCTAGTACATAGAAAATTCTCATCGTGTGAGTGTAAAGAAAAACGAAAAACGATATAATTCATATCTTGCATGATTTCCTTACCACGTTTTATTGTATTTTTTCAGCGGTTCAATTATCCAGAGAAGATAACAGACATCTTGCTTGAAGATGAGACACTAACATTGTGGCGTCCAGCAATTACCACAACACAGTATTGTCTAATTCCGGAGACAATCTTAGAGGAACACTGGCCAAATATACTCCAAGTTTATTATACAAAATTTGACTGTGTCAGCAGTGTTATGCCCTTTGATGATGCGATCAAAATTATTGCTCATCAGTCAACTACTATTTTGCCTACACAAGATTACTCAGTACTTCGAGACTTTCCTAGAATTCGGGGTTTATGGTACAAACCCGACAAATCCGAAAACATTGGACTGACAGATGAATCCAGAATTGGAAACGTAAAATTCTCCTTTTCATTTCCAAAATCTGAGAAAGAAAATTTGCTTAGTCAGTTAAATATGTATTATCTTGAAGTTATGGACTACCAATCAGAACACAAATCTGTCTCCAGATTTCTTCTGACTAAAAATAAATACAACAATCTACCTCTATACGACGTTCACAAACCTGGAGGTCCTATTTATGTGAGAAAGAATGAAACATTAGAAGGAATTACTGAATCTTACTTTTTCCTGAAAACATGTCGAAATTTCCAGGGAAAAGTAGTGGATCACATTGTTGAGTTCATGCTAGAGGAAGATCCGTGGCCGCTCTGCCAACTGTCAACTACATCGCATATTCCTTTTAAAAAACCCGAGGAGTTTATTAATTTTGATAGCCGAGATTTTGGCCGTCTTCATACTGGTTACCTTGGAGCAAACTGGGACAGAGCGATGGCAGGAATGTTTGTATGGGCTCTTCAGTCTAAAGTACCGTGGCTTGTGTATGAAAGATTACACGAGAATATAAAAAGTACCGTGAATTTAGTGGCATGTGAAGCACCCCTAGAAGAAATCTTCACGGCATCTGCGCCTATATTGTGTAAGAGATTACTAGATCTTCTAGTTGAACTCTATCCATTTATTGCAAAATGTCACAATGACCAAGACTTAGCTGAACTTTTACAATTGTTCAAAACAATTCACATGTGTGATGATCAATGCATAATGGTCAGTTTAAAGTATGTTGACATACCAATATCAAGGATTTTGAATTCGTACCTAGCTCTATTAGAAAAAGTGATTGCATCTTGCTCCTTTTCTTTGAAACAAGCTGTGATATCAACTCTGCTTCCGTGGTCAATCCTGGCGTATCATTACTATGATCACAAGATAGACAGTTGTAGAAAAATGGTAGCTTTCATCAGTCAAATTGAAGAACTGAGTTGTAAACTTTTGCCAGGTAATGGCGAAACACGTGACTTCCTTCATTCAGCATCCACCGATCTTACAGGAAGAACTTCCGGTTTTGCTTCCATGTCGTCATATTATGACGAAGATGAGGATGAATCTTTACGATATTTGCCTTCATGACCATCTTCCGTTATTTCATTTAATGTGGCTGTCGAGACAATGAACATCATTGCTATTTCTAAAACCAAATGCCTTTATTATAGAAAATAGGGAGTTCCAAAGGCTAAATATGCCAATAAAAACCAAATGTTACTGTTTAATTCAAGTTAAATTTGTACATTGAAATCAATATACCATTAAAAGAAAAGTTCAAAAAGCATCTATATACAGTGTACAATAATTGGCTGAACCAAAAATAACACCATCGGCTGTAACTTGATCTTTGTCTATCAAACTAGGCTGAAAACAATCCAAATTTAGTTTATCAAACAGAGATAGACTCTGACATCATCTGTAATATCTTCATAAATCTGCAATGGCATATTTTATCATGTCCTTTATATTTTTTCAGCATTTATTTGATACTCAAATTAACAACAACTTATACAGCTTACATATTATTGTGAAGAGTGTTAATACCGTATCAGTGTCATGTTGCAAAAACAGGTCTTTAGATATTCATCCTTATTTTTTTCTAACATATTCTTGATTGGTCTGTGGAAACAATAACTATATTCTTGCATCGAAAAACCTAGAAAACTGTTATGTTTTTATTCTCATTGAGTAAGACATGCTTTATTCTGTAATGATTTTAGAGGTCAAACAATGTCATCAACACGAGTGTCGATCCATCCTTTTCTTTAACAGATAGCATTTTTTTTAAGTTAGCTGAAACATTGAAACCAATCACAAATCAAGGTGTCCATCGTATATCTCAAGAGTATTTTTGACCCTTTCATTTATAATCAATATTATCAAATATGAGAACATTTTTGTATGGTACTTGAGTCTTGTAATGTTCTGAGTATTGAATATTTCATAGAGAAAAATTATAGCTGTTCTCTAATAATATGACAGGAGAGATAACTCTAATTTACTGTTGTATTTTAAGTTTAACAAGTTTATTTCAGCTTCCCAATTGTGAACTTTCCATTTCTATGTAGCAACATTCCAGCAGCGCCTGCATACGGAGTATATATCTCCCAGTTGATACGATATTCCCGGGCATGTATTTCCTATCATGATTTCCTTGATAGAGGATTGCTGCTCACAAGGAAGCTATTAAACCAAGAGTTCCAAATGGTGAAGTTGAAATCATTCCTTCGTAAATTTTACGGACGCCATCACGAGTTGGTTGACCGTTATGGAATAACCCGTTTCACAGATGATATCGGATAAAAAAAAATTATGTTCCTTATGTCGTAACTACAATACCCTTCCCTTTTCACGAATGTGACCTACCGAATTAGACTATTTACCAGATTTGTAATAACATAAGCAACACGACGGGTGCCAGATGTGGAGCAGGATCTGCTTACCCTTCCGGAGCACCTGAGATCACCCCCAGTTTTTGGTGAGATTCGTGTTGCTTAGTCTTTAGTTTTCTATGTTGTGTTATCTGTACGATTATTTGTCTGTTTGTCTTTTTATTTTTGGCCATTGCGTTGTCAGTTTATTTTCGATAAATGAGTTTGACTGTCCCTCTGGTATCTTTCGTCCCTCTTTTATCTCACTGTTTTGCCGCATTTGATGAGTTCTTGTGAATTTATCTTCTATAGGAACGCTCCGAGCCAAAAATTTCGAAGAAAAATATATACGATGGTAGCTTTATGGCAAGAGGTTATATTGTCAAATCATCGGACTTTCAAAGAGTACTTTTTAAACTGTTATGAATCTTCTTTCTTTGAAAAAAAATTCAGAATGGGAAAATAAAAAATTCTGGTATATTAAAGGACATTTTCAACAATAATACCAGATACCTTGATGCTGCACTTACTGTTGCTAATACCGAGTTTATTAAACAAGCTGAATGTATTTATCCCAATGAACTTTGGCTAAATTAAGCTAGCGATAATAGTAAATATTGTCCCATTTTTAAACATAGAGTGTTTGTACAAAATGGGAAAATTGAAACTAAAATATACGACAAAAGAGACGATTACAACTGAAACGTCACAAATTTCCCGTTTTTCTGATTGCAAAGTTCCTGTTGTTGCATCATATAAGGTGTGCATTTCACAACTAGTGCAGTTTGCCAAAATATGTTTTAATTAAGCTGACTTTAATGATAGTTTCCTTGTATTAACACGAAAAGTTAATTTTTACAGGGTCACAGTTACCACAGACTTTTATACAAACAATTTTACAGACATTCAGCATATTAATAACATACGGTATTACTTTCCCTTCCTTCTAATGCAATATCATAAAAACATTGTAAACTAAAACATCGAAAAAATATATATTTACACTCGCAAAAGTTCTTACATTTTTAAACAGAAAGGGCTATAGGCATGATTTCTAACTTATTCAGTAAAATGATATTCTCACTGATACTGGCCGATTTAAGTTAGGTTATACGAATAGATGTCATGAAAACTGTCAGAGCGTTCTTTGGGGGAATATTTTGTTTTCTTGGGCAACAGCATTCAACCAAAAGCTGTGGCTAACTCAGCTAACTTCCTGTAGTGTCAAGCAAAGGAGTAGAGCCAGGCACCTCATCAAACGGCCATGTATTAAAATTTTTTTTTAACTTCAATTAGTTAAGTTAAACTTATGTATATGCATTGCTAAATGTATTATATTTGAGAGTAAAATAAGAAAAATAGTATATCTGCCTCATATTTATAAATAATATTAGCCTGAAATAGGAATAGATTTCATTTTCGTCCATTTTTCTCAAAATTTGTCAACTTTTTCAACCTGTTTTTTATTATGTTATGTGGCGCCACCCCTCGCCCATTGGAAATTTAGTTGAAAAGCAAAGGAATATGGTATATATATATACAGAATGTATCAGCAAAAATATTTGTGGGCGAAAGTAGGCGCCACTGTCCATTTTTCAGAAAACCGTCATAAATTTTGCAGAATTCTACAAAAAAATCCAGTTTTTACGAAATACACCTTCATTTACGACGTCACAAATACGTCACTAATGACGCATTTGGTGAAAATCTGTTTTAGCAAAAACAGTTAGACATTTTCACATATGTTTTCATCAATTTTCACTACATTACCGCAGTCAAAAAATTTCAGATGTTTAGGGCCAAAAATATGAGTTAGTGAACCAACTCCTTTCAATCATGCTTTTTCAAATTATGTGCTGTTTTCGTTTCATTTAAAATGGTCAAGCCAGTGGTCATCTCTTTGATGCAGTTGGAATCATTTCTAATACCTCTTTAGATATCGTCATGAACTGTTCTATAACATTACTAAAGAGTTCCTTATTTTTTTAACAAGTTGTTCTATCCTAGAAAGAAATGATGACAGTTCTACTCAAGAATAGATTCAGACAATTCTACTCAAGAATAGATTCAGACAATTCTACCCTAGAATAAATCCATACAACAGATTCGGAGAATTCTTCCATAGAACAGATTCGGAGAATTCTACCCTAGCATTATTTCCATTTTCAAGTATCACTTTCAGCTTTATCTGCATATTAAGTATATATCTCCCAGTTCATATCGTGATATTCTATGGCCTGTGTTGCCTATAACGATATTCTATGGCCTGTGTTGCCTATCACGATATTCTATGGCCTGTGTTGCCTATCACAATATTCAATGGCCTGTGTTGCCTATGACGATATTCTATGGCCTGTGTTGCCTTTGACGATATTATATGACCGTGTTGCCTATAACGATATTCTATGGCCTGTGTTGCCTATGACGATATTCTATGACCTGTGTTGCCTATGACGATATTCTATGGCCTGTGTTACCTATCACGATTTTCTTGGTATAGATAGTTGTTTCTAAGAAGAAAGTTATTAAATATGTGTTCTTAATGGTATAACTGTAACCTTCTCTTCGAGTGATTTGCGGATGCCATCATGATTCGGTTGACCGTTATTGAATATCAGTTTCATAGATGACCAAATATATACTTGTACTCTATGAATCCTCTATTTGACGATTTTCAAAGCTATAATACCTTCCGTCATTGCTCTACTCCGGTTGTCTGCTTATTACGATAAACCAACAGATGCCACGACTAGACTATGAACTGCTAAGCTTTCTAGAGCACCTGACCTCAAATTAGTTTTTGATGTGTTCCACGTTGCTTATCTGCAGTGTTTAGTGGACTGTTGTTTGTTCTTTCTTTTTTTATTTTGGTCATGATGTTATCTGTCTTTCGTCGTCGTGTATTTATTTATACCCCCTTGCTTATCGTTTTGCTCTTCTTTGTAAAATCCGATAAAACGCTTGCCTAAAGAATTTAAAAAACTATAATTCCCACATAACTAGTATTTACCAATAGAATTAGTGCCAGCTGAACACAATTCTTGTATTAGATACGTTACAGAAGATACTATAAATGTCGAGTCGTAACTGTCCAAATATTTGGATAAGTATAATACAGCTATCGTGCATATCTTGGTCCAGATAATCTTACTACGTACATACACAAAATTGTGGTGGGTTTATTTATTTTTTTATTTAAACACATAGACACTAATAAAATTCTAGCAATCCATTTACAATAAATGAAATTGTCTAAGTTTTGAAAAAAAACATACACTTTTATAGATTTGTGTGGGGTTTTTTTATTGCTGTGTTGTTGTCTCCCTTTCATATACCTATTTTTTCCTTATATGATTATTTGATAGAAGGATTGGTTTATATAAGATAGTATCCATTATTTTTTATTAATATATGCTTTGCACGCCTAAGAAGACGTTTTTTTTTCCAACTTCGACAAACATGGTTTCTATCCATTATAATACAGAAGGGATGCTTTGCTGTCACAACAAATGGGAAAAATAGACGATCTATCAAATCTCAGTGTTTTGTTGTGTTTAACAATGCGAATTTTTCTACGAATCATTCATAACGATATTAAAAGTATGTTTGTTTTAGCATGTTTTATCCGATTAACATTTCTAACGTAGATAATCAGTTTATACTAATTTCTTTTCGTCCTGTACGTAAGATTTTACAGATTTCACACAGGAAATTACATTTCCTTGATCATCAACGGACTACGTCACATTAAACAAAATATTTTTTAAATCTTTATTAGTTAATTTATTAATGATGGAAACTATCTATAGATGTTTTAACAATGAACTATCACTCGAACAATAAAATTAAATACACTCATACATTTCTAGTAACCTTATAAAATATTTTCATTGAGGATGAGGCCTAGCAGATGGCATAGATCATTGGCTTCAATTCATGAAGTAAGTGAAGGCGGTAGATTTAACCACTTGTAGTTCTAGATTGCCGAATTTCAATTTCCTTTTCTAAGTTTGAAAGTAGTGTGATAGAAGATTAAAAACCTGTTTAATGATGTTTGCGTTTCTCCACTTCACTTAGAAAGTTCAACTTCAAACATTAGTGGATGTAGGTCCGTATGTCGTTGACCGTTAATTGTTCTATACACAATGTATCATCAGTCTTAAATTGACATTTTTTTAAAAATCTATTCATAAAAAGAAATGCAGATCATTAATTTAGCTAGAGAAAGTAATAGGAAGTATGTATGCTTTTGTGAAAACAAACAACTTTATAAATATTTTAATATATACAACAATACATTAATTACATGATGATGATGTTGATGAAGATGATAATGGTGATGATGACGGTGATGATCATGATGATTAATTTAATCAGAATGAAAATTAACAAAACGACACATTCACATAATCTATCATTCATCTACATGCGCTTTTGGTGTATGATCACATAGAATATTTTGTAGACGAAAATTAGTCATACGTATTTGTAAAAAAAAAATGAGCAAGATCACAATTAGAAAAATGAAACAAGATTTTAAAATAAAATAAAATAGCCTATTAAAAAATCCTAGACTTCGGACTGATCACCCTTATTTTTATCGTCATTATCTGAATCTGATAAGGCAGGCGGTGGTAAATCTTCATCATCTTCTGATTCAGAGCCGGAAGCATCATCCTTGTCTTCGTCGTCCATCAAGTTATCAGTTTCTTTCAATCGTTCAAGTGATTCTACCGAGGCGCCGGTTGATGGTTCGACTTTCAGTCCTATTAATGTGTCTGGATTCTCCGTGTCTGATTCTTTATCTGAATCATCGTTCTTATCAGATTCTTCTGTGTGAAGCAGATTATTTATTGATCCCGAATCTGCTGATTTGAACTCAGATTTATCGGTAGCTCCGAAAGAACTTTTTACTCCATTTCCATTTTTACTTTCGTGTTCATTGACTGCTGCAAACGTACTAACGCCAGCACCTCTGAATTAAAGAAAACAAGTGATGCTTAAAAAAAACTCAGTACAAAATAATAATGAATAAGTTACAACGAAACCATAAAAATGAAGAACTAATAGTCCTTCATCTGGACATTTTGGGTAAAAAATAAACAAAATAAAAGACCATGATTGAAATAGCACATTATGACATGAATCTAAGAAGGCATTGTAAAATGAAGGTTCCAACAAGACATTTGTGAATAAGCCACCAAACTCCCGGTGTAATAGTCCATTATCTAGTCAATGAAATTTTTTATGTAAAACAAAAAACAAAAAATACATAAATATTTTCATCAAGTTACATGTACCACAGTTTTCCTCCCCCCCCCCCCCCCCCACCCCCCCTAATTTCAGATAAGATGCTTTTGCAAATTCGGAAGACAAAATTGTCTTAAACATTACAGCGAGGAGTTCTTTGTCAAATAATTCGACCCGGCTTACCAATACATCTAGTTCATACATTAAATTCAAATTAAGATAATTTAGCATCATAATATTATCTCTTTCTATTAATTTGTCCAATTCCAGTGATTGAATTTCTGTTTCGTTAACACCTTAGAATATACAAAACCATTATTATATGATAAATGCACAATAGTATAAAAAAAAGTTTGACTTCAATATGTAAAATTCTATCATAGATACATTTTACAATTAGTTTATAACTGCTGTTTTCGGTAGTCATAATACCAATATTTTAAAGTTATGTGTTCTACATGACTAATTTTATTCTTTTTCAATTATTTCGCTGATCGAAATAATAGCAGGAAGGTCAAAAATTGCAACCTTCATATGTTCATGTGTCTGTCCTAAGCTAGAAACGTTATATTCCTTAAAGAGGCATAAGCCGTCAAATTCATGTTTACAGATTTGACCCAAGTTCCCATATTTATTTTAAAACATACTAAAAAATGTATCCTACAAAAAGTCCAATAGAAACAAAATTAACAAAACATGGACTCGGTATAATGCATCAACATTTCGTTCGTTTTTAAACTGACACGTAGAGTTATCCATAGAGATGACCTCCGAAGATAACCGATGGTCATATTACCCGATATAAACATTAAAATAAATATAAATTGACAGAGAAGTACATGCAATCGTATATGACGATTTTTCTAGGTCTGTTTGATTTCATGTCATAGATTAGAAATATATGTAAATCATCGTTTTACCTCTATAGAATAGGATTTTGGGAGGCGGACTAGTCAACAAAATGGTTACTCCAGGTGCACAATTGCTGTATGATGTACAACATATTTCTTTTTAACTCTACAATTTAGAGAACAATAAAATTTGAACGTGGGAATTTTGACTTTGCAGATGATGCAAGAGACGATAATTGGTGAAGTCATGCTGCTGCAGTTCCAAATTTTAAGTTTGTATTTTCCTGCTATATAATAAAACACGAACTCACTAAGAGTTTATTACTGAAGCATACGTCATCGTCGTAGTTATAAAACTATATCCGCCGTTATACCGATGTCATCACAACATATGTTTTACCTTCACCAGATATAAAAGTTTCGAAAGGAACTTTCAATTGTATCTAACTTTCACTCGGATTTAGAAATGACGATTACTTAACAACCAGAAATTAGAAAAGAGCTCCATGGTGGAATGACCAATCACAAATACTCTGTATCTATCTTTGTAAATACCTTTCTTCCCCTTCACCTTTATCAAGGTCAATAGTGTGTACGTTATCGAGTCCACCATTATCCATTGGCATTGTCATATGAATTCCATCCATCATATGCCTTGGACTGGACGCCTCGTTAGTTTTGTAGGTACCAGACTGACTCTTGAATCGATATACCACGATGATCAGCAAGACAAGAAGTATAACGGAAATTGCAAACATAATTCCAAAAGCCACCAGGCCTACTCTTCCAAATTCTGATTCTTGTGACTGACCATTACAGTTTGCGCCAGCTGCAAGATATAAGAAAAAAAAAATAGATGGAGAAATTAAAAACAAATAGTAGTGGATTTTATTTTTCAGTTTTTAAACCAACGTACCAATCATATGTTGTTATTAAGTTGAATCATCATTTATCGACATTCTTTTAACGAAATTCAGTATGTATAGAGAACAGATGTTTTCATTAAATAATATAGACGAAGCAAGTTTCTTATATATTAACTGCAATTTCATATTTTCTTCTATGTATACTCATGGAAGTATTATATTGGCAATATAATACTTCCATGGTATACCTTACAACAAAATTGTATACTTTACAGCAAGTTCTTTCAATTTCAAGGTTGATATTTCTAATAACAGCTTGAAATCAGTATCAAATGATTGAATTGGTGTTGAATGGGTTCTAAACTTAAAGTTCCTGGATATCAGTATGTATTTATAACTTAATAGTAGATAATCTTTTAAACTTGACTGACAATATATTTTCTATTGACAGTCACTTTTTGTTTATGCATTACCATAAATCATTTTATAAAATAGACTTGTAAAAGCATTGTAAATAGGAACACAAAGATGAGTTCTAAAGGAATTTTTACATACAACATGGAGGAGTTGTCGTTCTTTCCATTATTTTTGTTACTGGTATCATTGGGCCTGTTGTTGGGTCCATCATTTTTTCTGTTGTTGGGTCCATCATTTTTTCTGTTGTTAGGTCCATCATTTTTTCTGTTGTTGGGTCCATCATTATTCCTGTTGTTGGATCCATCATTGGTACTGTCATAGCCTGTTGGGTTGTTTCAGCCATGACTGTTGTTGCTGCTGGTTGGGGATTAGTCGTTGCATCATCCGAAGAAGTGGTGGTTACAGCGTCAGCTGACATCACCGTTGTTGCAGCATCAGACTCAGATGACTGTTCCATCGTAGAAGGCTCCATAGCGTCTGGTGAAACAGTTGTCGACGAAATTGTTGTCGCTCCATTAGAAAACGCTATTAAACCTAGCAAAACAGAAATGGTTTATTTAGTCTATTTACACGTCATTTGATGGAAATTTTTATTGGTTGAGAAAGGAAGACTACTCGAGCTATTTTGTACAGACAGAATCATAATGTAAAGACATCAAACGACCTTAAAACTTGAAGCTAACATTTCTTAACTCACAACAGGGCCATATGAACAATTACAATGGTAACTAATAACATGTAAATCAACAACCGTGGAGCGATTCGTATAAGAAAACTGTATACTTACAGAAGAATGTTTTCTTGTTAAATTACTGACAGTACAATTTTAAAAAAATGTTTCAAGTTTTAATGCTAGTGAACAAAAATTATTACAACTGAAACTTCCATTAAAAACTGAAAGCTTTAAATTTGTAATACAACTCCCTATAAATAACTAAAGGTGCGCCGACGCCGAAAAGATACTAGTACTCATACCCTGCTCCAAAGGTGTAAATAAGGCAGACCACCATTCATTTTAACGCATCTTTGACCATTTATTTCAATTATAACTAATAGAAATTTATAATTAATCATAAGAGTCATGGTGAAATAGTATACTAGTATATAATTCACAGACTGACTGTTATTCCAAACCCAAACATGAAGTGGTGAACATTCTTTCACTAACTATGAACCTAATCAAATCTACGGGATGAACAACAACCATAATAAGTTCCATCACATTATATGTGGAAAAGGTATTCTATTCTAATATATATGTATATATACATATGGAAGTGATAAAAACAAATGGTAGTACAACAGAAAACCACGACATTATGCAACGACAACACTCACTCGGGTGAGAAATAAACAATTCGAAATAAGATGGTCCGTTTGGCTAAAATTGTTGGTTTAAACAGTTTAATTTTAAAGAAACTTATTAGAAAATTCACGTCTTGAACAAAGAAAACGGTTTTAAACCTTTTTAAATCAAAAGCTAATTCTGAATTGTGAATGTATTCAAACAAAATCAAGCTTTTAATAAACTACCGAAATCATAATATAAAAGTTAATTACTTAAACACGTAAAATAGAAACTTAAATTCAGTTGGAAACTTTACAACTGTGGATAAGAATCACTATACTACCACTCTCCCGTTTATATAGGCATGGTGAAGTTTATGGTTTGTTTAATTAAAACCACTATAACATTCAGAAAGAAATATAGAAAAGGAGTTGAACAATGGCATTTCCTTGAAATACGGCCTTTAGTCCAAGGTATGTTTTACTAGGTGTTGTGGATGAAAGGAGTCTTGACTATGCAACCGTATTTGGATAAAAAAATACGTAGTGCACAATACCATTAGATACTCCAGTATAAACCTGCAAAGACATTTTCCATATGATCTAACAGTGCTCAACTCATGAGTATACATAATTAAAATATGTTGTTCAATTGATAAAGTATCTAATTAAACACGAAAAATTTGATTTTTTTAGTAGCTTGGCAAAATTGTGCTCCATTGATCCGACATGTCTTCTTAATTTGTAAGGCTGTTTAACATATGCATCCTCAATAGAAATTAGTTACAGATTCATATCAATATTGAATATTAAACTCAAACCCAAACGCTGACACTGACACTGACGCTCATGCAGTTGTTTGTGCAAAATATCAAATTTTAACACTGTAAAAATCGTGATTAGAAAATAAACACGTGTATGAGGGTCTGGATGGGAATCCTTCATTTCTTTTTTTTTTTTGCCATTTTTCTGTATTCTTTTTATACATTTTACCCGTTATTCTCTATTCTATATATTTTAGCACCTCATTATTCTCTATTCTTTATATTTTAGCATCTCATTATTCTCTATTCTTTATTTTTTGGTCCATTTTTCTCTATTCTTTATATTTTTTGCCCATTATTCTCCATTCTGTAAACCCCAATCCACACCCTCGTGTAGTTCTAAAAGTGTTTAGGATTACGTTTAATATCTAAACATATTTTCTAAGTAAGCACATTAAATGTACACCCGTCTTTAATATAAACACTAATTTATTAACTAATTTCTAAGCTAAACACATTTTCTACCTAAACATGTTTAGCTTGCTGTTCGGTGTGAGCCAAGGCTCCGTGTTGAAGACCGTACTTTGACCTATAATGGTTTACTTTTATAAATTTTGACTTGGATGGAGAGTTGTCTCATTGGCACTCATACCACATCTTCTTATATCTATTAGAAATTAGACATGTTAAGACCTGAATGTGCAAAAAAAAATGTCACCAAAATTTGTTTAAATTTGTGTTTAGGATCTTAACACCATTTTTAACAGTGTATGTGTAGTTTCTTCTGACTCATAAAAAATAAACTGAATATAAATAGAAATTAAAAAAAAAAAATCCATATTTTTCAACGTACATATTACTAAGCTCCTCAACCACATTGATGTTCAAAAGTAAAAAAACTTCCGTGAAGGAAGTTGAGTTCATGTATGAAGGATGTTAAGTATTTTAATATTACTTATGTCAAAGAAAGATGAAGTTTACTGATATAACATGACTAGACTGCACAAGTGTGATTTTCAAATAAAGTTTGAAAAAACAGGAAAGCTTTTTTTCAAAATGCAGACAATTTTTTTATTTGATCTTTAATTAAGAATTAAGCTGTTGCTAAGTGGTATAGGAAAAATTGTTATCTAAAGGTTTAAAGTAAACATTGGTTGACCAGCGAAACAAGAGTGGGAGGGGGTGACATGTTTCCATTAAGGCCTTATAACGTGACTGATGGTAGGTCTTGGCAACTAAAACAGGTGGTCCAAATAACATACTCGACAGTAAAACAGTTGTATTATCTGCATAAACTAGGAAAATAAATTATCTATTTTGAACAGGAAAACGTGAATCTATTTCAGCTTTTGTTTATCCATAAGCAATATTTGAAAAAAAAATGTACAACCTTTTAATACGCCACCAAGATCAAACCATTGGGCATCGTGGAATGTGTTACAGTTAATTGATTTTAGAAGAAGGACGATAAAACTCATAGTTATTCTAAACTTATCTTTAAAAATGTGGAATGCTATGGCCATTTTTTTCTGTAATTGTTTCAATGACAGAGTCAATGTATGTTAACGGAATTTGAATAACAGCGAGTCTGAAGATTTGTCAATACTTAAAAATATTCATTAACTAACATGACTAAAGTGTTGTGGTCTATACATTTTTTTTTCTTTCAAGAATAAGGAGATGTAGTATGACTGCCAATGGGACAATTTTTTACACTGATATATTTTATATACATATAAAAAAGTCAATAATTGTTCATAGGTATCTGAAAGGCTGTACCTTAACTTCAAATATACTTCTCTCGTTTTTTTACTTTTCAGATAATGACACAAAAATCTATTGCAGTTTAAATCTATATATACATTAATAATATAAACCTATGATTTTGATTTCAAGGCGCACGAAACGTATATCTAGGATAACCTTCATCAAATATGTTCGAGCGACGAAAGCTCTGGTAAATCATAAAAGGTAAAATCGTCTGAGGTCAAATTACTAAAAATAGTAAAAATAAATTGTTCATAAACTGAAACTTCACAATAAAATTGCAATTCAAAATCATGTCAGTACCGAATAAATTTGCTACTGAACGAATGGCATTATCAGCGACTGCCAGGCCATCAGCAAATGCACCGAACCGGTTCAGTGGAAAACATATATTGGTTGATACAGATTCCAGAGCTCACAACACGTGTTCATAGAATTACTTTCATCAGCTACACTTGTCAAAAAAAGTTTTAGAAGACCAATATATCAAACACAAAAGAGCATCAACAAATCGCCTAGGCCAGCACGACAGTTGCAGCCCAAGTTGTGATTTTATCACTATGTAGATGAAACCTTAAAGTACAAACATTAGCTGTGAAAATAAGTTTCAGAAATAATTCAAGGGCGTATTGAAAATATTTCTGCTGGTGACATAAATATACGATAAATCCGCCCTTTCTAATTCTGAAGAACTATGATTAATTCATTGTTCCTACATACATAAGAAAATTGTGTTAAATGATAGAGTTCCCATTGTTCCGGACGTTCATCAATCAGAACGTTTTTGGAGTACGCCTTTCCAAAAATTACCAATTATGCTTCAAAATCTGAAATTGTGAATTGGCAATGCTTCGTAGATTGTATCCAGACTAAAAAAAACTAACAATAAGATTAGCAGTATTTTGAAGCATCGGTCTATAGCTTATTTTCTTGGGAAAGTCGTTTAAGGTCTTGCAAACGCTACATATATCAAATTTTTAATAACTATCGGTTAGCAGTAAAAACTATTCAAGTCAAGTACAACTGTAACCAATTAAGATATGACTTTAATGCTGACATACATGATTCTTTGTTTAAACATTAACATATATACATACATATTGTTACGTATAAAAAAAGATCGAGAAGTCCAAAGTATCTAACAATAAACACCACAATTACGGACAATGAAAACTAAAAGAAGTATTCACAGAACAGCAAAATATCTTCCAGGCTAGCCTTTAAGTTGCAGCCACAGAAGCAATTTTATCATGATGTTGTCCACTAGAGTATATTTAGTGGCAAAACCGTCTTTCTATTCAGTTATTGGTCAAGTGGACAATAACAATGCAGTCTCGTTTGTCATCCGTCACATTTTTTAAGCCCTGTTGAAAATCTACAGACGTTGCGCATAAAATTCGGACAATTAACACTCTGCCAAATTTGATCATTCTATCTATAATAGCTTAGGATCATATGGACCACGCCTTACCATACGCTCTTGTTATTTTGTATTGGTAAGTGTCTATCTCATATAATACTTATACAGTAACTTTAAAGTCGGATTTAATATACTATGGGGATCGCAGACATCTTGTAAACATAAAAATTGCATTCCCTATCATTAAATTTATCTAAATTCAAGATTCAGTTGGTTTTTGCCTTTTTCTAAGTTTTTGAATGTTGATGCGAGATCTCTTTTGGCGTCTGTGTAGTGTTTTGTATTTGACCGGGAACTACAAACGAAATTTTGGCTTGATCTATGTTTTTGTTGGACTGTTGACATCCACTTCTCAAAATAATTAAGATTCGTTTGTTGATTAATTTTTTAATTAAAAAAAAATCAATTAAAAAAAAAATGTCAAAAAGGAAGGGGGGAATATTTTACATTAAAGTTTACTATCAATATCTTTTAATCCACAAAGGAAATGCAATGTACTATATAGTCCAAGTTAAAAGATTACATACCTATAATAAGAACAATAATATATGTTTTCCCAATCATCATTTTGCTTTTCAAACCTCCAAATATGTTTCAATCTGAATTCATAGCGGTTATTTTCATTTCCGTGAAGATATTAGCTGTTGCATATGTAGTTAAGTGGTAGATCCTTCAAAAACGGAAATCGCTATATTGTCGCCTTAAAAAGCCGGACGCTGTGATAGAAGATATGTATACTGTTTACTTGTATTTACTTCGAGCAAAACGTAATTTTTTAGAAACACTCATCCCTGGATTAGGCGTTGACATATACGTAATAAATTGCGACACTTAACATTTCTAATCATTTTGCGCGAAAGTTATGCGTTCACTGTAAACGAATCTTGAAGTCATAAGCTTTTGAAGAATACAATGGTAAATTTCAAATATTACCGGCTTGCTGATGCAAACATTGGAAAAGACATTGCTCGACAGGTTGGCTTACTGTTCATAAAATGTTTTTTTGTTTCATGAACGATATACTATATAAAAACGATGAGATGTGGTATGATTGCCAATGAGACAACCATCCGCCAGAGTTAAAATGAAACAGTAGTACGCATTTATAATCGACCGAATGTATTTACTCGCATTTTCTGAATTGCCGATGAAGCATTACTATATGTCAAGAAAACTATTGCATTAGGTCTTATGTACGTGTAGGACTGTTTCGTTTGTCACGACCATCTGTCAAAAAGTTGTCGGACGTAGAATTTATTTAAAAGAATAATGATCTGTTTACTTAGTTTAGGTTGTTATTGATAAATTTGTCTAATGGAGGCTAAACAGAATAATCCTCCAATACAACGTATTTGGTCCCAATACATACACTCCAAGTTTAAGAGACAACTATAGGAACCGCGAGCAGAGCTAAAAAAGTATACACCGCCCCTGGCAGAGTCCATGATTTGCTCAGGGAAACCCCAAAAATAATTCGAACCAAAACAAAATAGGAGATACACAATGACACTATAAAGTAAAGATTAAGAGAAAGTGTCATTAAATCAGTGAAATTAAGATGTCTTGATTTGTTGTTGTTGTTGAGTTGATGGCTAATGTAGTTCTTTTTTATATTGTTCTAAAGGTTCTTTCTTGACCATGTCCATTTTGTTTCAGCACCATTCTGAAATAAAAATGTTCTATAAATTAGATTTAAATCATTTAACATTGAAATCAATGGTACATTGATCGATCCTACAAGAAATACAAATCATATTAGTTAGACTGTCTGACCATCATATCCTCAAAGAAGACATTAACAAGCTCTGGGTAGAAGGTTTGTGACTGCTGCAGGAACATTGTGGAACTATCAACTACCTTGTCCGTGTCACAAACAACGGAGACAACCTTCAAAGTGTATGACTTAAAGACGGAAAATAGTGAAACTGTCAACTACCCCGTCCGTGTCACCAACAAAGGAGCCAATCTTCAAAGTGTATGACTTAAAGACGATTTTCTTGTTCCATTCTGAAATAAAAACAAATTTGATATATATTAGTGGTCTGTGTGTTTTCCCTGTATAAAATACAAATCATATTAGAAGTTTTCTGTGCGAGACTGTCTGACCATCACATCCCCAAAAGAAGCCCTTTACAAGCTCTGGGTAGACGGTTTGTAACTGCTGCAGGAACATAGTGGAACTGTCAACTACCCCGTCTGTGCCACCAACAACGAAGCCAACCTTCAAAATGTATGACTTAAAAGTAGATTCTATTGGTACATTCTGAAATAAAAACAAATTCAATGTATTTGTCTGTCCTGTCAAAAATACAAATAATATCAGTAAGATAAGCAGGCAATATATTGACAAAGAAATATTTGAAAAGCAGGCTAAATATGAGAGGGAATAATATTTTTTCTATTTTTGAAAATTCCAAAGTACTTAAAAAATGGGGGAATCTTTTTTTAAATTATAGTTGGTGTAGCCTCAATGTAATTTTTTTTTTTACTTTTTATTATCTCAAATAGAGCAGGGATTATGAATGAGGGTTGGAAAGGGATAAAGTAACCCAGGAATGAAGGGTGGGAAGAGGGAGAAAGTGGAAGGGAATGAAGAATCAGGGGAAGAGGCATATACTGGAAAAGTTTCTTTGACCGATTTTTGTCTCAGGGAGTACAGGAAGGGGGTGGGGGGTGGGGGGTGGGAATCATGTACTTCCTGTCAACTCATTCAATGTGAGCTCTGCTCATTTATTCTCTAATAAGCAGATTTTCATGATCTTTCCTATTAGTGTGTAAATAAAACATAACTAGGACTACTGAATGAATTTTCATCCAAACTATTTTTGAACTTTTTCTGTAAATAACTTCCTTCTTATTCATACATATATGTCTATTTCAGAGGGGAGGAGACGGGGGTATGAACTTTTTTCGTGTTATAGTGAGAAATAATATTATAATGTAGATATACCACGATGGCTGAATTTGACCGTTTAAAAGAATGAATATCCAAAATCATTCGAAATTAAAAAAAATAGTGCTATCGCTATTCTAGAAAAAAGAAAAAAAGTTGAATGACTGAACTTTGATAGCTAGAAACTAGGTATCAAAGATAGATCACTGAAACATCTGAGAATTGTTACAACATTATGTGAAACTAATTCCTAGAAAATTACAGGCAACTTGTCTTCCATGTTATGATTAGATAATAATGTTTATGCATTCATCTATCAAATAAATAAATTTCATATAATGAAATGCAAGATTTAAATCAAAATAAGTTGTATCCCTCCACAAGAACAGTATCTCCCTGTCTATTTCCTTTCTTTCTCTCTCTATATCCTTTATCTCCCTTTCTATTCCTTTTTTGTCCTCTCTAAATGCAATCTTTCTCTTCCTAACAACCTATTTGAAAAGAACCAATTGATAGCATTCTCTTAGGTTAGTGTTGATATTTTAGAAGAAAAAAATGTTTTTAGACATGGATAATTTTCTGATCACCAAAAAAGTTGAACTAATTTTTTTTATCCATCAATAATTTCAACATGAAGACATGGTTGCCTATAATTGTTTTTGAAACAGAAAATGGCATGGGGAATGTCGATCCACAACATGCACCTGTAAATTTTAGCTATTTTTCTAAAAAAAAACCCTGTAAAAAATTCGACCAACATTTTAAGATTTAAAATTTTTTTTTTGAGATTTTTTCACATGAATACAGTTCATTCATAAAAATTCATTACAATTTAAAAAAATCTAATCACTAATATGAATCAAACAAAAGAGTAACATCCTGTCTCTTATACTAACAATTGTGTGATAATCTAAATTTAAATCATTTAAGTGTTTCATATTTATAATTAGGAATAAAGTCTAAAAAATATTCTGAATAATATTTTAAAAAGAACACATCTTAACTTGAGGGAAGTTTGGGGTTAAATTCAGAAATATTTCAAGGTTAGTATCTATGGACCTGATGCATACAACCTAAACTAACTACATACAAATGAAGTATCCTACTTGACTTCTCCTCATATGTATACATTCCGCCAAAAGTTAAGCACCATGCACCTACTTTTATTGCATCGAAATTTTTTTCATTTTAAAAAAATCAGTTATTCCTCGAAAAAGAGAAAACATTCAAGTAGCAATTTTGCTAACATATACCATAAACAAACCATAACTTAAGTTTGGTCACTTATGCAGGTTCTGTGCATTTTAATTTTGCGTTCATAGAAATAGTGCAAATTACACAAATCAGAAATGGAATTTAAGTTTCACTGTGAATTTATTTTTTTACAACAGTTAATCGCCCAATATCATTAAAGTTCTCTACAAATAATCTTTGGTATGTTCGGCAAATTTAATGTCAATATTTGAGTCAATAGGATGTGTAACCACCTCTCTTCCGGTACAGTTCCATAACACGGCGTTTCATACTCTGTACAAGCCTTCTGAACTTTAGTTGAGGAAATCTATTCCATTCATCAACAATTGCCACTCTTAAATCGCCAAGATTTGGCAAAGGTGGATCTCTGCGATTGAGGTTTCTGCCAATGGCATCCCAGACATGTTCGATAGGGTTCATGTCTGGAGTCATGGAAGGCCAAAAGATAGTGTCAATTGCTTCTTGCTCTTTGTACTCGGTTACAATCCCTGCCCTGTGTGGTATAGCGTTGTCGTCCATGTACAAGGGTCTTGACGCAAGTGGGTGATTATCAAAATGAGGGACTACAATGTTTCTAAGCACCAAATCCCTGTATGTCTGTCCGTTCATGTTACCCTGCAGAATATGCATACCCAGCTTACAACGGTATTAGAAGCAACCCCATACTGTAACACCACCAGCACCGAATGCAGTCGTTGGGCAAATGTTGTTTTGGTCATAGGCAGTTTTATTTTCCCGCCAAACTCGTATTCTGCCGTCTTCTGGTGGTAACAGAAACCGACACTCATCTGACCAATGAATTTTTTGCCAGCTTCTCATCTTCCAGTGTCGATGGTCATTAGCCCATTGAAACCTGATTATACGGTGCCTGGCTGTTAGGGCAGGTCTCTTGACAACACGACGTGCTCTTAGGTTGCCTCTATGAAGTCGACGGACCAATGTTCGAACACTAACACGACCACCTGGAGGCCAGTGGTGTCTAAGCTGCGGGGCAGGAGTAAATGGGTTGGCTTTAGCACGACGAATAAGCAGTCTGTCATCACGACGGATAGTTAAACGGGGTCTTCCGGACTTTGGTCTATCATTTACATTTCCTGTGTTAACAGCACGAGGATAAAAGCTTATGTGAAGAGTTACTGCCAGTCACCCAACGTCAAAACCGTTGCACTACGAAAAGTGTATACGCAAGTTAATGTAGTCCCAACAAAAATGATAGATCTAAATATCTAAAAGGAAAACTATTTGAGCATATATGTGCGGTAAAATAAAAAAGTGCTATGTTTTTTTTATTATCCTCTTTGTAATACGTTGAAAATTACTGTTTATTGGAAATATTTAAATACCATTTACAGTCGTAGCAGACAAAATGATAGGTGACTGTAGGTCACATTTACATAGCACCAATTGCAACTTTTAAAATGTTTTAGATCTGTTCACGTAGGGTATCATGAATTTGCAATTATTTATATGAGGGACACGGAGGAAATTGAAAAACAAGCCATGAAGCATGGTTTTCAAAAGTATCTCATGATTAAGACATGTCTTACAATGGTTTAAGGACATGTCATAAGACATGTATCT